GAGCCCCGTTCGCACTGATTCGGTGTGAAATTCGCAACATTTTCTGTCCAAATTCCGCACCGCATCAGAATCGCACCTTGTTCATGCAAAGCGCTGCGGGTATGTATGTTAACAACACCCCGAAAGCGGTCTGCAAAACACATTGTGATGTGCAGAACCGGATCGCATAGGTGTGAATACCCATGCGATCCGATTCTAGTGCGGACCAAAAAAAGGGCCCTGCACCTTTTTGGTGTGGGTGTGATTAGAACTTTCCAAAATGTATGGCTCCAATCTCACCACACTCAAATCGCATGTGACTTGCACAGGAATCACATGCGATACACCACACTGCATATATGTGAACCCAGGCTTAGACTCCAGTGTGATGGAGGGGTTGATTTTATAAAACTAGAGAGTGCAAAATCTGGTGCAGCTGTGCATGGTAGCCAATCAGCTTCTAACTTCAGCTTGGGTACTTGTCTGTTAATTCACCAGATTTATTTACTTATATATATATATATATATATATATATATATATATATTTGTTATATAAATAAATGTATATATTTTTTTTTATATGTTTTAGTTAAACATATAAAAAAATATATATATATATTTATTTATATAACTAAATCCGGTGAATTAACAGACAAGTACCTCAGCTTGTCCAATTAAGCTTTGACAAAAAACCTGGAAGCTGATTGTTGCAACTCTACATAGAAATCAGATTTTGCACTCTCCAGTTTTAGTAAATCGACCCCAGAGTCACAATGCAGGAAAACACAACAGGGAAGCAGGGACAGTGTTGTCACCCTATAGTGCTTGCACAAGGACCTTCATGGCAGCATTACCATTTTATACTTTAATGAAAGCTGTAGGTATATGAGATTTTAACTTAATGTAATTACAACCAAAACTTTTTTGGAGACATCATGAAATGATCGAAAAACTTTGTTAGGTCTTTTTTTTGTGCTGTCTGTGTCCTTTTGGACTCCTTTCCAAGGTGAGGTAAATCCCCCTTTAGGCAGTTGTCCCAGAAAAAGGTATCCCCATTGGAAGATTTCTCCTCCATTCCTGTTCAGATGGCAACTGAAAATCTATGAATTTCCCATCACTTTCTAGCCCAGAGTCACCAAGACAAATAGGGGGTCCAATCTCCCCAGCATGGACAGAGGAAGCAAGTAGAACCTGATGGGGTTTCAATTCTTTCATGCTTCATCCAGAAATAAAAGTTTGGCTATAAACACACTTTATTGACAGGGTTGTTCAGCTGTTATAGTAAAACTGAATGCAAAATATCTTCCTTTTGGATAGAGAAAAGGAAGGTTATAACCCGTCAGAATTATTTTTTATTTATTGCTTTTTCCATCTGCATCCCATTGGGCAATTTCCCTTCACTTCCTGTCCCATAGCCAAAACAGGAAGAGAGAGGAAATCCCTCTAAAGCAAGGTTGTCACCAGGGTCATCAGAACTAGTGTCCCCATTGGAAGATTGCTCCTCTTTTCCTATTCTGGTAACAACCCAAACTTTGGGATTTTGTTAGGTTTAATCTCGGTAATGGTGGCACAGATATAAAATGAAACCTGACAGCTTGTTTAATCCCTCACCACTCTATCTAAACTAAAAGTTTTGTCTTTAATTATACTTTAACTTAGAAAACACAGATTGACAAAAGAAAAACAAAGAGACGGCTATAGTCTAATAGTCTGAAGTTACATAGTTAGTCTGGCTGAAAAAAGACAAAAGTCCATCTAGTTCAACCATAAAAAAAAATATTACAATAAATAAATAAATGTTATAATTCTATACTCTCAATTGATCCAGAGGAAAAAAAAAAAAACTCAGCAAAGCATGATCCAATTTGCTCCTGCAGGGAAAAAAATCATTCCTGATCCCCTGTGAGACAACCCAATATTCCATGGATCAACTTTACCTATAAATGTTAATATCCAGTTATATTCTGTGTATCCAAGAAACAACCCAGGCCTTTTTTTAAAGCAATCCACTGGGCTGGCCAGAGCCAACTCTTGAGGGAGTCTAATCCACATTTTCACAGCTCTTACTATGAAGATACCTTTCTGTATTTGAAGGTTAAATTCCTTTTCCTCCAGATGTAAAGAGTCCTCTGTGGTGACCTCAGGGTGAATAGCTGTACACCGAGTTCACTATATGAACCACTGATGTATTTATACATGTTGATCATATCCCCCCTTAATCTCCTCTTCTCAAGAGAGAATAAATTCAGTTCCTCTAATCTTTCTCATGGCTGAGCTCCTCCATGCCTCTTATCAGTTTGGTTTCTCTGCCCTTTGTTTGAAATCTCCATGGGTCATCTAAACCTATCCAACTCTGCTCCCAAAAAATTAATCTCTCTGGGGACTACTACACACTCCAAAATATAATCTACGTATGTACAAAAATCAAGAACCAAATTTATACATAAAAACTTGAAGTTACAAGAGCCTGTGAAAAATTGGAAAATACACAATTCTTTATTAATTGAAAAGCAATTAAAACCAAAATAACCCCTGCTATCTGGCCAAATCCAATGAAGTATTTTGAAGTCACAATATAATGTCACATATAAACTGGCACATAGTATAATACAATATATTATGTATTAAATGTATCTCAGTAGGACTTAATAAAGTCGACGTTTGTCCAGTAATGTAAAGGCCAGCTCAACATTTTCAGTATGCCCTCATCAGTTCACTGGTGTCATACTCTATAGCAGGTGTGTCAAACTCAATTTCTTGCGGTCTGCATCACCATTATGGTTGCCCTCAAAGAGTTGGTTGTATCTGTAAGACTATATAAATGTATAGTAATAACATAAGACTTAAGCTGCTAAGGGCAGGGGCAGACCGACACAGAGCTCACTCATACTCCTGTAGCAGATGATGCAAGCCTGAAAAGGAGGGTCGCACACCACTGGCATCATCCACAAGAAACTTTATTGGAGGCTGCTCAGAGAGAAGATGGTTCTGCCACGGTGTTCTGTGTGAGCTGTCTCCAATAATGGAGGAAGATAACACCTTTGTGCGACCCTCCTTTTTTAGACTTGCATAGAATTGTATTATTCTAATAATAAAATATATATAAGCAGATGTCAAGAGCACCCCCCCCTCCCCTTACATTAGATGCCACGAGCCATCCTCCCTCCCTTACATCACAGTGCACCCCCCTAACCCTGTGCTGCTGCCAGGAAGAAGCTGGGGGTGGATCTGGAAAGCAGAAAGTGCAGGGTCTGGAGGAGGACCAGTGCAGATCTGGAGTCAGTTGACAGAGTCTGCTGAATGCTGAGACCAGGGGTGGCAGAGGAGAGGGGGTGCTGTGGCTGCATAGACAGATACAGGCCCTATAGGAGAAGTTCTCCTCTCTGCCGACTGCTGAGACGTTGTGGGCAGGGAAAAGCCTCTCTGCGGCTGCACGGGGAAGTGCAGGATCTGGTGGAGGAGTTCTGTCCTCCTCACTGCTGCCAACTGCTGAGATAAGTGGGAACAGAGATGAGGGGGTTCCACAGCTGTAGGGAGGTGTGAGGGCCACATGAAATAGACTGTGGTCTTTGTGTTTGCTCTATAGCAATCATAAATGGAACAAATGTTTCCAATTTGTGGTTAGAAAATATGCCCAGATTTCCCTAGTCGATGATTGGTTCTTCTTTTGTGTGGTGTCCACTGTGAGCTGCAACCAACATGCAAGTACACAATGCATAGAAAATTCCCACTAAAAATACAGGTGCTGGTATATGATCTCAATATGGGGTTGTATTACTAAAACTGGAGAGTGCAAAATATAGTGCAGCTGAGCATGGTAGCCAGTCAGCTTCAAACTTCAGCTTGTTCAATTAAGCTTTGACAAAAATCCTAGAAGCTAGAGTCGTTTCTACGCAGAGCTGCATCAAATTTAGCACTTCCAGTTTTAGTAAATTAACCCCTTAGCCGCTATAGCACACATGTAAATCACACAGGAACCGCACGGCATTCCTGTGCAATTCACATGTCAATGTGCGGTGCGAGTTGAACCCATTCATTTTCAATGGAGTCAAGTTGCACCGCATAGCACAAAAAAATGCACTGGAATGCTTATTTTGTGACATGCGATCCAGTGCAGGCAAACGCTCTGTGTTTCAGACCTGCGTTTGGCATGTCATTAACTTTGAATTCACAATGCAGCAGATCGCAAAGCACACTGATTGCAATGCAGTGAGGGAAACGCACAGGGATTGCAGCATTTTCCACACTGTATATGTGTGTATTCAGGTTGATAATATATAGTTGCACTTTGCAGCAAAGATGGGACAGTGGTGCAGACAGGGATTTTTGGGGGTTTTTAAACACAGAATGACTGGGTGCACCTTTTCTCATATATGCAAGCTATTTAACATTTTATAATCTTTACACTTGGCAGGTGATCATTTTCAGGGGAAATAACCCTTTACTGCATGTGTACTGTAATGGTATATTGGTCAATCACAGGCTAGGTAAAAAGCCACAAGTCTTTATAGGTAGGAGTTTTTACCTAAGATAATGAGCCATAAAGTCAGTTTAATTGGTTGGATCTCTTTATATGGGAAATTTACTAAAATTGGTCCACAGAGAATCTAGTGTAGCTATGCATGGTAGCCAGTCAGTTTCTAACTTCAGCTTGTTCAATTAAGCTTTGACAGTAAGACCTGGAAGCTGGTTTCTATGCAGAACTGCACCAGATTTTGCACTCCAGTTTTAGTAAATAACCACCAATGCGTAAACAGTTTTTGGTTATATTCATACTATGTTACAAATCTTTTTTTTTTTCATGAGATGTGACTTAATTTAGTCATAGGAATGAATATTGATAACATTTTGGATCACAACTAACTGTTAATAAGTCATCTAAACTGTTAATGTTATATATAGCAGAATCATGCACAAAATCCCATTTTACACTGCATAAAGCACTATTTCTTTCAGATCCATTCATCACCCTGTGAATGTTGTCATGGCAAATAAAATATATTGGTTTCCTTACATTCAGGTGGCTAAAGTTTGAAGAAGATGTAGAAGATGGAGGTGAGCGCTGGAGTAAACCGTATGTAGCCACCCTTTCTCTGCACAGCCTGTTTGAACTGAGAAGCTGCATCATCAATGGAACAGTTCAGCTAGATATGCGTGCAAACACCATCGAGGAAATTGCAGGTATAATGCAAGCTAAAAAGCCACAGCAAACCCCATATTTCTCTTATGACAGGTTTTCTATAAGATGCCTACTGAAAATAATTCTTACTTGGTCATTTGATTGAGGGCTGCCTTTAATCTGTGCAGAGACTTCTGGGTCATGGAGCAAAGCAATTTGATTTAGGTGACGTTTCTGGGATAATTGCTATTGTTCCCCTGAGAATCTGATGTCAGGCACATAAACATGGATGCTTCGTCTGAGGGATCACACTTGTTTATGCCGAAATTGTACAAGAGAATGACCATGATCCGGTCAGATGTTTCTACCTCTAGAGATATTATTTATTTGACCTCATAATAGCTTTCTCATGGAGATATCCACTTCACAAACCTAAATATCATGTGGATGGGGTTATCTTAATTGCATAGTACAGGACACAGGAATTGCAGATCATGGGTTATATGGTGCAACTTTCAGGTGATTGGACACTGGCAAAAGCGCTTTGCTGGGACCACCCCCAAGCATACCCATATAACTCTGCCCATGGGGCCTTTTTTTTTTGTCTTGTGTCCTTTAGTGTTGTACCTTTTTCCTCTTGTGGAAGATTTTTTTTTTCTTTTTCACCAGTCTCCTGTCCTACTTTGACTGATGACACTTTGACACTTCTGTCAAGATCTTACTGCTTATTGCCTTATGGCTCGCTAAATGTTTCTGGATCAGTTACTCCTCAGTCTTGGGAACTGTAACTGGGCCTGGCCTGTAATCTTTGCTTGGGGCACTGAATACTGCATTCAACTCTCTCCTTGGTAAGTGGTGCAAGGAGTGAGCTAGTCACAAGGTGCTGTGTAGGTCCAGAGCAGTGGTCCATTCTTATGGCACCCAGACCCTGAAGACCTCTTCAGGGTTATGCCCACCATGCCGAATGAAGCTTGGACCCTAGACAGGACAAGAGTTATAGACAAGGTAAAAGGGTTTCCCGGTATTGTTATATGCTGGTTCCATGTTATACATGTCTTGTTGGATCATTGTTTGGATTTGTAGTTTACACCACACTCAGTCCTTTAAACGTTCAAGACACAGTGAAGTTCTAAGCACACAAGTGGTTTTGAAGACAAAGGTTATGGGGTAATTTACACTTCTAGTGTTCTTTTTCCTAGCTGCTATGTCTAATCTACTCCAGAGGCTTCTCTGGAAACAGTGGGTGTCAACAGCCATAAATGTTCTTCACTTCTCCTCCCCCCCAAGTACATCCATGGGTTACAACCTCATTTGCCTGTTGCACTTACATTTGCAGAAGACAAAGGGGACTGGACCATCTTATCGAAAGCCGCTAAAGATTTTTTACCACTAATATTACATGAAGTTAATTCTTCACCTCCTCTTACAATCAGCTGGGTGGTTATTTATACTTTTTTTCCAGGGAAAGTCCCTACTTCACTAGCAGATCCCATTCTCCCAAGCATATCTGTGTTCTTGGGCTTTTCACAGCATCTAGCATTTGTTTTTCTTAATTGCAGGACCACCATCTATTACTATTTTATGACATGCAGCAGTTTGAGCCTCTGCTGATCCATGCTTTGGCTTCAAGGTGCTTCTGCTTTCAACTGCTTATTCCAGTCTATTGACCCTGTACTATGTGATTAAGGCTTGCCATAGATGGTTTAGGTTTTTATTCATCCATCCACACATTGAAGGTGGATGTGGGAATTCTTCGTGCTGTGTCATTGTATTCTGACAGTGGGGAGACTTCTCCATGATCAGAATACACAGATCAGCACTGCAGGCTATAGCCTGTAGTGCCGATAAAGAGGAAATTTTCCAACAAGGCGGTTGTACAGAAGTCAATCGGTAGATCGACTTCTGTACAACCACATTACCCATACATGGATTGAAACTTTCCTGGTCCCTGCTGAACTGGCCAAATTTGGATTCATCTTTGGGCAGCTTAAGATAGCAATTGTGACATACCTTTAAATTCCATATCTTTTAGTACAATACAGGACACAGGTCCTGCCCTTTATTTCTCTGTGATCACCTTATTGCTTGCTAAGGAAAACTGGAGCCTCACAGAGTGGTTGGGGTCGTATGGGTACACTGGGGGCAGTCGGTCTCAGCAGAACTTTTGCAAGTGTCCAATCACCTGAATGTAGAAGCATAGTTTAAGAATTAATTGTTGTGTCCTGTACTGAAATCTGAGATATGGGATTTACAGATACGTGTTTTTTTCCCAAAGAAATAGATATTTAATAACTAAACTCTTCAAATTGTATTTTATCATAGTTTATTCCCCGCATTCCTCAATAGATACCACTTAGAACCACAGGGCTATCTCCAGGCAGAAGCTGGTCATATTTGATGGAGTGATAATTTATGTGATAATCCTTTTGAACTGCGTTTTACATACTGTTTTTTTTTCCCCCCAAATTAAAGTTTATTGACATAAGGTAGCATCCATAACAGAGTATGTAAACATCTGGGTACAAAGACAAGATTAATTTGTACAGCTTGAGATGATAAAGGGTAATGTAGAACAATAGAAAATGAAAAACATCAGAAAATAACAGAATGCTCATCTGAGATCGACATAGCCCTGTACCCCAAAAACTTGAACTGTGATTCCCACGAGGGGGGGGGGGAATAAAAAAAATGGAACTACCCCATTTAAGTTTTTTATAAAATAATATCAAACAGCAAGAGAGAATACATATTAAGAGAAGGGCCCAGAAAGGAGGGGAAGAAGGAGAAGGAAAGAGGAGGAAGAAAGAAGAAAAAAAAAAGGGGGGGCACGGTTGGGGGGTTAGGGGTTAGAGCTGATACTTATTACTCTCATACAAGAAGGCCTCACCTTCTAAATAGATAAACATATTCCACAGACCCCACGTCTTGGAGTAGATCTCTCGTTTTTATGAGAGGTTAGAGACAGATTTGCCATCTGATTCAGTTCCTCCACTTTTATGAGCCATTTGCAGATGGACGGAAGTTGAGAACTACATACTGTTTTTATGGTCACAAGTGTTCCAATGCTTATTAACATATGAGGAAATATTTCAGAATTTGTATTGATAATATTAGCTTATTGCTTTTGAGAATTAACCAATCTGAATTATCTGCCCAGATGTTTGAAAATAATAATGTGGTTTACAAGAGTTGTCAAATCACTTTGGGCAAGAACTGCCCATTTCAAATATAGATACGCAAGCAGGAAACCCTTGTGCCTTTCCATCCAAATGAAGAGTGTGAAATTTACTTCTATATTTCCTTTCCTTCTAAGCTACACAGGGGACTTTCCTTCAGATTGTGTCTATCCAAATGTGCCTGTTATTGATAAAAACTGTCTTTTATGGTGATGTTGAAAATGTTTACATCTGATATCACCCACTTTATCCCTTTAAATCTGACCTCCAGGCAAAAAGCTGAATACACAATTAAAATATTTTGGAGCTGTTCCCTATGAAAACATTTGTTTTTCTGTCCAACCAACCCTAGGATGTACACAGCCCCGATGATGTGACTTTCCTCTACTGTAGGTATGCAACAGAGCTAGGTTCCCTCCATCGGACAAAAAAGGAACAATAGCAGACTGATGAGATAATTTCTCTGTACCCTCAGCTTGTTACTCATTAGCACATGTTCATGTACTGCATGATTGGCTCCCATTGTTGCCCCTACCTCTCCCAATTTTTTGTTCAGGGGATATGGTTATGCATGTCAAATTCAGGTACTTGAACAATTAAAATGTAAAAATTGATCTTTTTAGGGAATATATAATTGATGACTTTAAACTAATCATACACACTTTTGCAATTTTGTCATCTTTTACTGGTTGATATATATTTATATATATTAGATATAATTTTAGTTGTCCCTCCACTCGTTTTCACTCTGTAATAAAGTTACCATTACCAAATGAATATAAAAACTCTTAACTCTAGGCAAACCAGTTATTTTTAGTTTTGGATAAAATGTGGCAACCTCTAGTTTTTAGCGTTGGAGTCTTGTCCCAGCTAATTGCTGGCCATACATGGATTGAAAATCGTCTGGTTCAGCAGAAACTGGCCGAATTTAGATCCATGTATGGGCACCCTTGTTGTACACAAGTTGTTCTATTGATCAACTCCTGTACAACCAGCCAGTCGGGTTTTTCCTGAACGATTAGTACTGCTGGCTATAGCCTGAAACACTAATTGTGTTTTTCCAGCAGGGAAGGCTCCTCTTTGACAGAACACAATAGCACTGCAAGAGGGATTCACGAGATTCAGGGAATCAAGCGATTTTCTTTCCTGCCACAGAAAGAAAATTGCATAATCTGTGGCCTGCCTTAGGGAGGTTTCTCCTTGTACATCACACATGAAGTGTGGTTGGTCTTCCCTGCTGGGACACACACAGCAATAAAAATTGACAGTTTTATAAGCCTTTCTAATTCTGCTAAAAACATTTATGGTATCCCACTTGGACAGATTCTGATTTTTTTTCTTAATGTAGGACTGCACAAAAAGTTTTATGAACACCACCAAATGGGAACATTGGCAAAAATAAAACCCAGACATGAGGTTCTAACCTTTCTCTATGCTTTTTAAAACTACCAAAGCAAACATAGGTAGGAGCTGTAGGCGATGAAGGTGCTCAAAAGATAGCAGACCTGATTGTAGTAGATGCATAACATACCAGTATAGTTTTGTAGATGTTATGTACATATACTGTATCTCAGGCATCAATGCCAGTGTGGATTTTTAGCAGTCTCTGGAAAGAAGAGGACGCCTAGCTGATTCTTTTTTGCAAAGCATAGATACACTCATTTATCAAAGCAAAACAACTGATTGCCTGTTCCTAAGCACAAAGGCATTAATAAGGGGCCTTGGGGAGATTATTCAAATCCTTTAATGTGATCCAGCGTCTTCTTTGAAGGCTCACTTGTGTATTGATATGTGTAGCTAAATCTTAAGACAAGCATTGCCTCCATGATTCATGAAAATTAGTTTCAAGTGGAAAATTGGAGCAGTCAGTCGGTAATCTGCTTTCA